GATTTAGTCCTGGTTTAGTTCTGGTTTAGTCCTCCTCTTCAGTCCTGGAATGAGTCCAAGGTTAGTCCTGTTATAGTCCTGGTTTAGACCTGGTTTAGTCCTGGTTCAGTCCATGTACGGCTCAAAAGTTCAGCATCTTCAGTTATTTTGGTGAGAGTAACTTAAAGTGCTGCAATAGTCGTGTTATTTTTTACATTTTAAATGCAGTAATATTGTAATGTAACAAATGACTTTGAAATGACAGTAATAAGTCATAAATAACACATTAGAGTTTTAAAGTCACTTGCCCAACATTGTTCTTTATACAGTTTATACAGACACGTGGGTTTAGTCCATTGAGATTCATTTGATCTTCTGATATTTTATGTTATCAGGTTCTTTTTTCAGACCAAGAGTTTGTTTTCCTCCTGACAGTTTGTTCTGCTCCCTGCGTCTTCCTCAGAGTCTCGTGATGTTTCTGTGTCGTGTCGCTCAGTTGATTTAAACAGGTTTTGTCTCTGTCTTCCTCTCGGTGGAGGCAGGACGACAGCGCCACCTGCAGTCCCACTTCCTCAGGACAGAATCCAGGTGTGTGAGAGGAAAAAAGCCCCTCGTTTCGGTTTATCGTCCCGTGGGCTTGTTTCTGTATTTCGATCCAGCGACGATGTTTGTTTTCCTCTGTCCCAGTGACGTTTGCTTCGTCCCCGTCCAGAACCTGCTTCTCTCTTTTACACTGGTCAGAGACGGACGACTTGAGTTGTTCCGGTTCTGTTTTGTGTTTTGTTGCTCGTGTTTCGCCTTCGCTCCTGATGTGTGTTTCGTTGCAGGATATGACGTTACGATTACGAGCGACACGACACAGAAACATCACGAGACTCCGAGGAAGAGCGCAGGGAGCAGAACAAAGTGTCAGATATGAAAAGAACAAGTCTTGAGCCGTAAAAAGAACCTGATAATCGTAAGACACGTGTGTTTGCTTCAGTGTTTCAGGTCAAAACTCCCGTGGTTAAAGCCTGATCTGGTCTGAAGCCGAGCAGGACGAGGTTTGGTCAGGACTCGGATGGGAGACCGCAGGGACCAGGTGCCACAGGGGGCGCTGGCGGCAAAACACTATCGCTGTCTCCTTAGGCAAGACACTTTACCTTCATTATTTGTATGAATGAGGTGTGTGTGTGTTTCTGTACATCACTGAAGTAAATATAGAAAATAAACACTAATACTGAAACTAATTTATACCAATTTATGACACAAAAACACTTCTGAATCTACAATATTGTTAAAAATCATGAGCTGCAATAAATCAACAACAGAATGAAACACTTTAGTGCTTCGTTTGCATCTGTATGAGTCTGATTTCCTCGCTTTTTGGTGTAAATACAAACAGGAGTAAAGCTGCTGCTGGGAAGTGTGGAGTTACCCCCAATTAGATTCGGTTCGGTCGCTTCATTTGTACCCGTAGGTAAATTTGTTTTGCAGATTTGAGAGGCCGGTCTCGCATTTCACTTTTCCTTCATCCACATTATGAACAATAAACATGTATAAAAAAAACAATTAGAAAATAAAGTGTCACAGAGCTTCAGCGCAGAACGGATTTGTTCCATAAATAATTAAATTCATTCATCACGTTCAACTAAGATCACGATAAATATTCAATATATAAAACACACATTTTTTCTAAGACAGGGTCCTAACATCAATAGATTAATAGATTATAATTTATGCGTAAGTCAGAGAGCAGCTGGAACGAAGCTCCTTTTAAAAGTTTATACGATGAGGGTCTGAACAGAAAACACAAAAGCGGCGTCGCGTTTTCACTTTTTATTCCGTGTTTAGTCGAGCGTTTTCGGGAGTAAATCTGCTGCACACGGTGACGCAAAAGTGTGTGGAATTGGATTGTGTGTGCATGTGCCAGGCGACTCGGTGGTGATGTTTGTGACGTAAACTCGTACACGACCTGAGCACATGTGACCAGAGTTTTGTGTCTTGGTCAGTGGAGACGGAAACTCTACGGTGGAGAATATTCAGCTTTTCCACTCTGGATGTGAGGGTTTCTTTCTGCCTCTCCTACCCCTCCTTTCCCTGCTCCCTCTTCTCTTCTCTCACCTTATTTGGCTTTTCCTGGGCGGGTCCCCAGTTCATCTCACCTGCTGAGCTCCACTCCTGATCCTCGTCAGTAATCATCTCCTGCAGTAAAAGACCTGCTGACCTGCTCTCCAGTGCCAGATCGTTCCGTCAACCAAGTGGTGAACAACTCAGGCTTTTTTGTGTTTTTGAGCATTTTAGAAGATTTTTGACTCTTACCTGTTTTCTTTTATCCGTTCCCCAGTTCTTCCGTTTTGGAGTCAGCCTCATCCCGTTACCGTCAGTCTCTGTAAGCCTCCGGTCAGTCTCCATCTCCACACACCTCCCATCTGCAGCCAACCCGGACCCGTCCTGCCTCCCCTGGAATCTATCCCCCGCCAAGACTATTTTGTGAATAAAATACTTTTTTTTTCCTCTGCATATTTGGGTCCGACCAGTGATTCTTTAACACTGGAGGTGGTTTCAGATTTTTGTGTTTTTAAGCCCCAAAAACACTGTCACCGTCTAGACCAGAGGTGTTCACACTTACAAAATGACCAAGTCCAAATGATCGACCTAATACAAAGTCAAACAAACTGCACTGAAACACTCTGTGCCCCTTTTTTTGACCCTCCCCCACAGTTTGAGAACCTCTTCTTTAAGAGAACTTCCTCTGGCACTTTACACAAAACTGTGAAAAAAGTGAAGGAAGATTTTTAAACCTGTTTTTTAAAGTTCCAAACTGGAGTTTCATTCTTTTCTGGTTTTGCAGTGATATTTACCAGCCTCTGCACGTTTACCAAACCAAACGCACATCGTGACAAACACAGATGCATTTGTCACTTTTGTTAGACAAACTTCAGCCAAATGTGGCAGTAGGTCTGTTCTGTAGATCCGCTCTATGCTGTAGACCTGCTAAAACCAGGTCTAAACCAGGAATAAAACAGGATTTAACAGGACTAAACCATTCTGCGCAGACGTGTCTCCTTCTCTTCTATCAATAATATTTTTAATACGGTTAAGTTTCCTCGTCTTTGTTTCTCTACAACAAATCAAGTAATCTAAAGTATTCAGATTACATTACTCTAAGTAATTTAATGGATTATGTCACAAACTACATTTTGGTGTATGTAATCTGTAATCTGGAGGGGATTACATTTTAAAAGTCACCTTCCCAACACTGGTCATGACGTTATGCAAGAACGTTTTCTGGATTAGGTGGTAGATCTTTCAGACACGATCATTTTTAAAAGTAGCTCACATACTGAAAAAGCCTGAGCACCGCTGGTTTACTCCAAAGCAGTAACGGCTCTTCATTTTAACTGGTCGGGACATTTACAGCAGCAGAGTCAAACGTGCGTCCAACAGCGGTCGTGACGCTCGCCGCTCAAATGAGGGTGGAGTTTTCCAGCTTCAGCACGTCCCCAGACTTTTATCAGAGGCAAGACAAGAAATAAGCACAAGTGTCAAAATAAAATTCCACTGTCCTTTTTAAAACCTCTACGCCGGCGTAAACACCGAGCGCCGCGTCAGGAGCTCGAGGGACGACTCCAGGTGGACACGGAAAGTTTGGAGCCGCCGAGGATAAATATAAAAAAACTTTACAAGAACAACTTCTGAAGGAAAAGACGCGAGGAGCAACGAGCAAAAAAAGTGAATTTTAATTTTAAGTTTAATTTTTGAAGGGCGTAGTTTGAAAACGCTACACCGAGTTACTGTAGCTGGTTTATTCTGATAGTAACTGTGATACTTGTGGCATGTAAACGCAGTATCCCGGTTACTGCAACATAAAGTTGAGTCACATGCGTCCAAAAGACACTTTCCAGTCTTTTCACCACAACAGTAGTGACATAAATAAATTGACCAACATAAATAAAGTGACCAAACGAGTGAAATGACTGTAAAATAAAGAGCTGCACTAAACCTGCACATGTACAATCTGCACTCGTGTGACGCTGAAAAACTAAAACATGAACTATCTCCTGTACAACACACACACAGAACAGACTCACCATCATCAGCACCTCTTCTGTCACAGAAAACAACTCACATAATCCACAGAGTCGAGTCATTTAGTCCAAAAGAAACTGATCACATCAGCGGCACAAGGAGCGAGTTGTTTTTATCGCCGCTAACAGTTTATGCTAATTAGCCAAACGGTCTTAAGTTTTGTTTCTGTAAAACAAATGTGATCAGAGCTGAATGATCTGATCAAACGGGCTGATGTGTCTATAGTGGTTCTGGTTTATATGTTGTAAAGTTGAGTTTATTTATGCAGAAGATTTTAATGAAGAATCTGCACAGTGGATTGTGGGAAATCTCGTAGCTCCTTAGCTTCTTATGCTAAAGAAGCTCACGGTTTGTATTTTTCCTGGTTTATTAAATTGATTTAAGTTAATTTTTGCGCCTGCGCATTTGTAAGATTATGTCAACAAACCGGGACACTCCATTTGATCATGTACACGCGGATATGAGTGTCTCGGTTTCTCAGTGCTCATGTAAACACAGTAACACGAACACTGACAGAACCGGGGTATGGATAATCACCGGGTTATTGATGTGCACGTGAACACACTCACAGATGGATTTCATTTAAAATTCATGTCAGGTTTTTAAAGATTTTTGTCAATTTTCTTTTGTTTGTGGAGAACAAATTGGTCCCGGTTCATTCCAGAATTGTTCATTTGATTGAAAATAAAAGAGTTACAGCTTCATTTTCATATTTCACGTGTTTACAGATAAAATATTTTAAAATTTTGTTTCCTCTCGTTTGTGGATTTGAAGAAAAGACTGGTCCTGATTTCGACCCAGAACGGTGGATTTGACAGAAAAGACGTTTGTCACAGCTCGTTTAAACTCGACGTCCCTCTGAGCTGGTGTTGTTTTATCGGGTGGTTTGACAAAATAAAATAAATGTAGAAAAGTTCAAAAGTTAAACGGCGGCGTCGCTCGTCACTCACCACGCTGACTTTGAAGGCGTAGAGGAGGTCGAAGGGCAGCGCCGCCACCAGGTCGATGATGAACCACGTGGTGAGGTAATGGAAACAGATCTGACGCGCGTCGAAGATCACCTGACCCGACTTACTCACGTAACTGGTGCGGAAATTACACACGATGTCTGCAAAAGACGAGAGACGAGACGAGACGGTGAGACGAGGAGAAGAGAGGACAGTGAGACAGAGACGACAGAGAGACAACGAGGAGAAGAGAGGACAGTGAGACGAGAGAGGACAGTGAGACAACGAGGAGAAGAGAGGACAGTGAGACGAGAAGAGAGGACAGTGAGACGAGAGACGACAGAGAGACAACGAGGAGAGGACAGTGAGACGAGAGACGAGACAGTGAGACGACGAGGAAAGAGGACAGAGAGACGAGAGAAGACGAGAAACGAGAGAGAGAACGAGAGACGAGGAAGAGAACAGTGAGACGAGGAGAGAACAGTGAGACGAGGAGAGAACAGTGAGACGAGGAGAGAGACAGTGAGAGACGACGAGAGAGAACAGTGAGACGAGAGAGAGAGAGACAGTGAGACGAGGAGAGAACAGTGAGACGAGAGAGAGACAGTGAGACGAGGAGAGAGACAGTGAGACGAGAGAGAGAGACAGTGAGACGAGGAGAGAGACAGTGAGACGAGGAGAGAGGACAGTGAGACGAGGAGAGAGGACAGTGAGACGAGAGACGAGAGGACAGTGAGACGAGAGAGGACAGTGAGACGAGGAGAGAGACAGTGAGACGAGGAGAACAGTGAGACGAGGAGAGGACAGTGAGACGAGAGGAGAGGACAGTGAGACAGTGAGGAGAGAGAGAACAGTGAGACGAGGAGAGAACAGTGAACGAGAGAGAGAGAGAACAGTGAGACGAGGAGAGAACAGTGAGACGAGGAGAGAGACAGTGAGACGAGAGAGAGAGGACAGTGAGACGAGGAGAAGAGAGGACAGTGAGACGAGAGAAGACAGCGAGACGAGGAGAGAACAGTGAGACGAGGAGAGAACAGTGAGACGAGGAGAGAGACAGTGAGACGAGAGAGAGAGAGACAGTGAGAGGACAGTGAGAACGAGGAGAGAGGACAGTGAGACAGAGAGAACAGTGAGACGAGAGAGACAGTGAGACGAGAGAGACAGTGAGACGAGGAGAGAGGACAGTGAGACGAGGAGAGGACAGTGAGACGAGGAGAGAGAACAGTGAGACGAGGAGAGGACAGTGAGACAACGAGGAGAGAGACAGTGAGACGAGGAGAGGACAGTGAGACGAGGAGAAGAGAGGACAGTGAGACGAGAGACAGAGAAGAGAGAGAACAGTGAGACGAGGAGAGAACAGTGAGACGAGAGAGAACAGTGAGACGAGAGAGAGAGAGACAGTGAGACGAGAGAGGACAGTGAGACGAGGAGAGGACAGTGAGACGAGGAGAGAACAGTGAGACGAGGAGAGAGAGAGACAGTGAGAGGAGTGAGACGAGAGACGAGAGAACAGTGAGACAGTGAGGAGAGAGAGACAGTGAGACGAGGAGAGGACAGTGAGACGAGAGAGAGAGGACGAGGAGAGAGGACAGTGAGACGAGGAGAGAGGACAGTGAGACAGAGAGACAGTGAGACGAGAGAGAGACAGTGAGACGAGGAGAGAACAGTGAGACGAGGAGAGAGACAGTGAGACGAGGAGAGAACAGTGAGAACAGTGAGACGAGGAGAGAGGACAGTGAGACGAGGAGAGACGAGGAGAGAACAGTGAGACGAGACGAGGAGAGAACAGTGAGACGAGGAGAGGACAGTGAGACGAGGAGAGGAGGACAGTGAGACGAGAGACAGTGAGACGAGGAGAGAACAGTGAGACGAGAGAGAGAGACAGTGAGAGACAGTGACGAGGAGAGAACAGTGAGACGAGGAGAGAGGACAGTGAGACGAGGAGAGGACAGTGAGACGAGAGAGAACAGAGACGAGTGAGACAGTGAGACGAGGAGAGAGAGGACAGTGAGACGAGGAGAGACAGTGAGACGAGGAGAGGACAGTGAGACGAGGAGAGAGACAGTGAGACGAGGAGTGAGACGAGGAGAGAGGACAGTGAGGAACAGTGAGACGAGGAGAGAACAGTGAGACGAGGAGAGGACAGTGAGACGAGACGAGAGGAGTGAGGACAGTGAGACGAGGAGAGAACAGTGAGACGAGGAGAGGACAGTGAGAACGAGAGAGAGAGGACAGTGAGACAGTGAGACGAGAGAGGACAGTGAGACAGAGACGAGGAGAGAGGACAGTGAGACGAGGAGAGAGGACAGTGAGGACAGGAGGAGAGACAGTGAGACGAGGAGAGACAGTGAGACGAGTGGAGAGAGAACAGTGAGTGAGACACAGTGAGACGAGAGAGAGGACAGTGAGACGAGAGAGAGAACAGTGAGAACGAGGAGAGGACAGTGAGACGAGGAGAGAACAGTGAGACGAGAGAGAGGAGAGACAGTGAGACGAGGAGAGAACAGTGAGACAGTGAGGAGAGGACAGTGAGACGAGGAGAGAACAGTGAGACGAGGAGAGGACAGTGAGACGAGGAGAGACGAGAACAGTGAGACGAGGAGAGGACAGTGGACAGTGAGACAGTGAGACGAGGAGAGGACAGTGAGACGAGAGAGAGAGAGAGAGGACAGTGAGACAGTGAGGAGAGAACAGTGAGACAAGACGAGAGACAGTGAGACGAGGAGAGAGAACAGTGAGACGAGAGAGAGGACAGTGAGACGAGGGAGAGAGAGAGACAGTGAGACGAGGAGAGAGGACAGTGAGACGAGGAGAGAGGACAGTGAGACGAGGAGAGGACAGTGAGACGAGGAGAGAACAGTGAGACGAGGACGAGGAGAGACAGTGAGACGAGGAGAGAGACAGTGAGACGAGGAGAGAACAGTGAGACGAGGAGAGAACAGTGAGACGAGGAGAGAGGACAGTGAGGACGAGAGAGAGAACAGTGAGACAGAGACAGTAGAGACGAGAGAGAGGACAGTGAGACGAGAGAGAGAACAGTGAGACGAGGAGAGAGAACAGTGAGACGAGGAGACAGAGACGAGACGGACAGTGAGACGAGAGAACAGTGAGACGAGGAGAGGACAGTGAGACGAGAGAGAGAGACAGTGAGACGAGAGAGAGAACAGTGAGACGAGAGAGAACAGTGAGACAGTGAGACGAGGAGAGACAGTGAGACAGTGAGGAGGAGAGAACAGTGAGACGAGTGAGACGAGGAGAGACAGTGAGACGAGGAGAGAACAGTGAGACGAGAGAGGACAGAGAGACGAGAACAGTGAGACGAGACGAGGAGAGAACAGTGAGACGAGAGAGGACAGAGAGAGGAGAGAGGACAGTGAGACGAGAGAGAACAGTGACAGAGAGAGAGAGACAGTGAGACGAGGAGAGAGGACAGTGAGACGACAGGACGAGAGAGACAGTGAGACGAGGAGAGAGGACAGTGAGACGAGGAGAGAACAGTGAGACGAGGAGAGAGGACAGTGAGAGAGGACGAGAGGAGGACAGTGAGACAGTGAGACGAGGAGAGAGGACAGTGAGACGAGGAGAGAGAACAGTGAGACGAGGAGAGAACAGTGAGACGAGGAGAGAGGACAGTGAGACGAGAGAGGAGTGAGACACAGTGAGACGAGGAGAGAGGACAGTGAGACGAGAGAGAGAGACAGTGAGACGAGGAGAGAACAGTGAGACGAGGAGAGAGGACAGTGAGACGAGAGAGAGAACAGTGAGACGAGGAGAGAGGACAGTGAGACGAGGAGAGAGACAGTGAGACGACGAGACGAGAACAGTGAGAGACGAGAGAGAGGACAGTGAGACGAGGAGAGACAGAGACGAGGAGAGAGGACAGTGAGACGAGGAGAGAACAGTGAGACGAGGAGAGAAGACAGTGAGACGAGGAGAGAGGACAGTGAGACGAGGAGAGAACAGTGAGACGAGAGAGAACAGTGAGACGAGAGAGACAGAACAGTGAGACGAGGAGAGAACAGTGAGACGAGGAGAGAACAGTGAGACGAGGAGAGAGGACAGTGAGACGAGGACACACAGAGAAGAGGACAATGTGCCTCATTCATGTCCATTTCTTACAAAAACTTTTTGTCATTCACAAAACTTCCTTAAGTGAAAATCTTCTGGAAGAACAAATCAGGAAAACTCAGAAGAATAAAAATTCTACAGTTTTAGAAAATGATCAGTGAAAAGGAAACTTCTGTCTGATCCTGAGTTTGCAGAGAACATTTTGTATGTGGAGCGACAACAAAACAAAATCTCGATCCTTCACTCAACCTCGGTCATGAATTTAAAAAGTTAACGCCAAAGTGAAAGGCTCCAACTGTTCACGTTGGCGTTGACTTTTTAGGTTCGTAACGACATTCTGAACATTTTAAGAAAAGTTTCGTGAGTGAGGCTCGGTGAGACGAGAGGACGCGGAGGAGGATTTACTCTGCGACACATTTCACCAAAACAGAAAGTCAGACTGACACACGAGGGATGAAACTGTGGGACTGATGTTCACGTTTGGACTCACCGATGATGAAGAGGATCTCCACGAAGATGTCGCTGACGGTGGTGCTCCGGGTCAGCTCCTCGTCGTCTCCGATGAAGCAGACGTTGTACGGGACGGTGACGGCCACGTAGAAGGTGGCGAGGAGGATGAGCCAGTCCCAGCCGGCCTTCATCGTGCTGTAGTGCAGGAGGATGAAGCGGATTTCTTCGCCTCCGAGATCTTGTACTCGGGAAGCGCGGGCGGGTCTCCGAACACGTTCTGAAAACAAAACACGTCACCGAAAAACACGCGTGAGTTTATGACGCGTTTATGATCTGGTTTAAAAGCTGCGCTGGGGAACTTTTCTGGTGCTTAGATGTTCCACAGTGTGGCATTAAACCGTTCAATCTCCATGGAGACCAGACCAAGACCAGATCGAGTTCCAGGTCAGATCTGTGGAGAGGCGACACCGCTCTTTTCTAAGGATTTTTGAGAGAAAAAAACACTTGGAATTGAATAAATGTTTAATCCTGGTTTAATCCTGGTTTAGTCCTGGTTTAGTCCTGGTTGTTCCTGGTTTAAGTCTGGTTTACCTGTTTAGTCCTGGTTTAGGTTGTCCTAGTTTAGTCCTGGTTTAGTCTAGTTTTTAATCCTGGTTTAGTCCTGGTTTAGACTGGTTTAGTCCTGGTTTAAGTCCTAGTTTAGTCTAGTTTAGTCCTGGTTTACCCTGGTTTAGTCCTTAGTTTCCTGGTTTAGACCTGTTTAGTTTAGTCCTAGTTTAGTCCTAGTTTAGTCCTGGTTTAGTCCTAGTTTAGTCCTGGTTTATCCTGGTTTAATCCTGGTTTAATCCTGTTATCCGGTTTAGTCCTGGTTTAGTCCTGGTTTAGTCCTGGTCTGGTTTAGGACCTGGTTTAGTCCTGGTTTAGTCCTAGTTTGATGCGTGTACCCGTGCGGTACCTGTATCTTGTTGAGTCTGATGTGTGTACCCATGTTTTCCACGTGTGGTACTCATGTGGTACTCATGGGGTGCCCATGTGGTACTCGTGTGGTACTCGTGTGGTACGTGGTGTCTGTGTGTGGTACTCCTCGTGTGTATACTCGTGGTTACTACTCGTTGTGTATACTCTGTGGTGTGGTAACTCGTGTGGTACTACTCGTGTGATACTATCGTTGTGGTACTACTACTCTCGTGGTAGTGGACTACTCGTGTGTACTCGTGTGGTCGGTCTACTCGTGTGTACTACCGTGGTGGTATACTTCTGTGTGGTACTACTCGTGTGGTACTTACTCGTGTGGTACTACTCGTGTGGTACTACTCGTGTGGTACTCGTGTGGTACTACTCGTGTGGTACTACTCGTGTGATACTACTGTGTACTACTCGTGTGATACTACTCGTGTGATACTACTCGTGTGGTACTCGTGTGGTACTACTCGTGTGGTACTCGTGTGGTACTACTCGTGTGATACTACTCTCGTGTGATACTACTCGTGTGATACTACTCGTGTGGTACTACTCGTGTGGATACTCGTGTGATACTACTCGTGTGGTACTCGTGTGGTACTACTCGTGTGGTACTACTCGTGTGGTACTCGTGTGGTACTACTCGTGTGATACTACTCGTGTGGTACTCGTGTGGTACTACTCGCTGTGGTACTACTCGTGTGGTCGTGTGATACTACACTGTGTGTACGTGGTACTACTCGTGTGATACTACTCGTGTGTACTTCGTGTGGTACTGACTACTCGTACTCTGTGACTACTCGTACTCGTGTGATACTACTCGTGTGGTACTCGTGTGATACTACTCGTGTGATATACTACTCGTGTGATACTACTCGTGTGGTACTCTCGTGGTACTACTCGTGTGGTACTACTCGTGTGGTACTACTCGTGTGGTACTACTCGTGTGGTACTTCGTGGTACTCTCGTGGTACTACTCGTGTGGTACTCGTGTGGTACTCTCGTGTGGTACTCTCGTGGTACTACTCGTGTGGTACTCTCGTGGTACTCTCGTGGTGGTACTACTCGTGTGGTACTCCTCGTGTGGTACTCCTCGTGTGGTACTACTCGTGTGGTATACTCGTGTGGTGTGTGGTACCTCGTGTGGTACTCTGTGGTACTACTCGTGTGGTACTCTGTGGTACTCGTGTGGTACTCTGTGGTACTCTCGTGGTACTTCTGGTCTCTGTGTACTCTCGTGGTACTCGTGTGGTACTCTGTGGTACTCGTGTGGTACTCTGTGGTACTCCTCGTGTACTCTGTGGTACTCTGTGGTACTCTGTGGTACTCTCGTGGTACTACTCGCTCGTGGTACTCTGTGGTACTCGGTTGGTCTCTTACTACTCTGTGGTACTCCTCTGTGTACTTGTGTACTTGTGGTCTGTGTGGTACTCTCGTGTGTCGTGGTACTCTCGTGGTACTCCTGGTACTACTCGTGGTACTGTGTGGTACTCTCGTGTACTCGTGTGGTACTCTGTGGTACTCTGGTACTCGTGGTACTCTCGTGGTACTCTCGTGTGGTACTCTCGTACCTTGTTGAGTTTGATCTTGCTCTTCTCGCGGCCCTGCAGGTGTCCAGAGATGTGGTACAGGACGGTGCTGCTGCGGAGACGAGACGAACTGAACGGAGAAGAACTCTTCACCTGCTCCCTCCTCCTCTCTGAAACACACACACACACACACAGGTTAATCACACACACACACACACACACACACACACACACACAGAACACACACACACACACACACACACACACAACACACACACACACACACACAGGTTAATACACACACACAACACACAACACACACTCTCCTCTCTACACACACACACACACAACACACACACACACACACACACACACACACACACAACACACACACACACACACACACACACGATTATACACCACACACACACACACACACACACACACACACACACACACACACACACAAACACACACACACACACTCCTCCTCTCTGAAAACACACACACACACACAGGTTAATACACACACACACACACACACACACTCCTCCTCTCTGAAACACACACACACACACACACACAAACACACACACACACACACAGATTAATACACACACACACACACACACACACACACACAGGTTAATACACACAACACACACACACACACACACACACTGGTTAATAACACACACAACACACACACACACACACACACACACACACACACACACACACATGTTAATACACACACAGACACACACACACACACACACACACACACACACACACACACACACACACACACACACACACACACACACACACACACGCTTACACACAAAACATCAACTTTAAAACATCAAGCAAAAAATGATAAACTAAAAGACCAAAAAAAAAAAAAATACATAAAATATATAAGATTGCAATTAAATTATTTGTGTAATTGTAATCTCCGTCTTTGCCTCTTTTATTTTTGTTCCATCTCTTTCCCAGTTTTATTTTTCTTTGGTTCTGATTCTTTTTCATGTTTGTGCTCTGTGACTTTTTCCAAAATACCAAATAAAAAAAAATCTAACAAAAAAAGTAAAATGAAATAAATAACTTTGCAGTCAAATTATTTGTGTAATTGTGTAAAATTTCTGTTTTTGCCTCTTTGGAAACGTTGTTTTTGTTTTTGCTCTGTGTCTTTCTCAGTTTTGTTTGATGCTGTTTGTTTTTGGTTCAGGACAGGTGTGTGACAGGTGTGACGGGTGTGACGTGGTGACAGGTGTGACAGGTGGGGTGTGACAGGTGTGACAGGTGTGACAGGTGTGACAGGTGTGACAGGTGTGGGACGGGTGTGACATGTGTGACAGGTGTGACAGTGTGTGACAGGTGTGGGACAGGTGTGGACAGGTGACAGGTGTGACAGGTGTGTGGGACAGGTGTGACAGGTGTGACAGGTGTGACAGGTGTGACAGGTGGGACATGTGTGACAGGTGTGACAGGTGTGACAGGTGTGACAGTGTGTGTGACAGGTGACAGGTGTGACAGGTGTGACAGGTGTGACAGGTGTGACAGGTGGGACAGTGTGACAGGTGGGACAGGTGTGACAGGTGTGACAGGTGTGACAGGTGTGACAGGTGGGACAGGTGTGACGACAGGTGGTGACAGGTGTGGACAGGTGCAGGTGGACAGGTGGGACAGGTGTGACAGGTGTGACAGGTGTGTGACAGGTGTGACAGGTGTGACAGGTGGTGACAGGTGGTGACAGGTGTGACAGGTGTGACAGGTGTGACAGGTGTGACAGTGGGACAGGTGTGACAGGTGTGACAGGTGTGACAGGTGTGACAGGTGTGACAGGGTGTGACAGGTGACAGGGTGACACAGGTGGTGACAGGTGTGACAGGTGGGACAGGTGTGACAGTGTGACAGGTGGTGACAGGTGTGACAGGTGTGACAGGTGGGGACAGGTGGTGACAGGTGTGGACAGGTGGGACAGGTGTGACAGGTGTGACAGGTGTGACAGGTGTGACAGGTGGACAGGTGACAGGTGGGACAGGTGTGGGACAGGTGGGACAGGTGTGACAGGTGGGACAGGTGGGACAGGTGTGCACAGGTGTGACAGGTGGGCGGGGTTTCCACAGGTTCATTCCCATTGGCTCACTCATGTTTGACGGACAGCTGAGCCTGCAGCTCCTGAAGTTGTTCTGGATGTTTCCTGCTGAAGTTTCGGTGACTCAGTTTCTCTGGTGACGATTCTTCTGGAACAACGTGATTCTTTTTACAAAGTGGAAGTTTCTGGACAAACTTGTGTTTGCTGCAGTCGCCAAAACTTCAACAGGAAACGTCCAGAAAAGCTTCAGGAGCTGCAGGCTCAGCTGTCCTCATCCCTCTCCCAACTCTGTCCTCTCTCCTCTTCCTCTCTCCTCTTCCTCTCTTCCTCTCTCTCTCTCTCTTCTCTTCTCTCTCTCTCTCCTCTCTCTCTCCTCTCTCCTCTTCTCTCCTCTTCTCTCTCTTCTTCCTCTCCTCATCCCCCTCTCCCCAACTCTGTCCCTCTCTTCCTCTCTCTCTCTCCTCTCCTCCTCTTCCTCTCCTCTTCCTCTCCCTCTCTCCTCTCCTCTCCTCTTCCTCTCCTCTTCCTCCTCTCCTCTCTCTCCTCTCCTCTCTCCTCTCTCTCTCCTCTCTCTCCTCTCTCTCTCTCTCTCTCTCCTCCTCTTCCTCTCTCCTCTCTCTCCTCTCCTCTCTCCTCTTCCTCTCCTCTTCTCTCTCTCTCTCTCTTCCTCTCTTCCTCTCTCTCTCTTCTCCTCTCTTCTTCCTCTCCTCTCTCCTCTCTTCTCTCTCTCTCTCTCCTCTCCTCTCTCCTCTCTCTTCTCTCTCCTCTTCTCTTCCTCTTCTCTCTTCTCTCTCCTCTCTCCTCTCTCCTCTCCTCTCTCTCCTCTCTCTCTCTCCTCTCCCCTCTCTTCTCTCTCTCCTCTCCTCTCCTCTCTCCTCTCTCTCTTCCCTCCTCTCTCCTCTCCTCTTCCTCTCTCTCTTCTCTCCTCTTCTCTCTCCTCTTCCTCTCCTCTTCCTTCTCTCCTCTCCTCTCTCTCCTCTCTCCTCTTCCTCTTCCCTCTCCTCTCTCCTTCTCCTCTTCCTCTTCTCCTCTCTCCTCTTCCTCTCCTCTTCTCCTCTTCTTCCTCTTCCTCTTCTCCTTCCTCTTCCTCTCTCTCTTCTCTCTCCTCTCCTCTCTCTCTCTCTCCTTCTCCTCTTCCTCTCTCCTCTCTCTCCTCTTCCTCTCCTCTTCCTCTCCTCTCTTCTCTCCTCTTCTCTCTCTCCTCTTCCTCTCCTCTTCTCTCCTCTTCCTCTCTCTTCTCTCTCTCCTCTCCTCTCTCTCTCTCTCCTCTCTCTCTCTCCTCTCCTCTCTCCTCTTCCTCTCCTCTCTCCTCTTCCTCTCTCTCTTCCTCTCTCTCTCTCCTCTCTCTCTCCTCTCTCCTCTTCCTTCCTCTCTCTCTCTCTCCTCTTCCTCTTCCTCCTCTCTCTCTCTTCTCTCCTCTCTCTCTCTCCTCTCTCTTCCTCTCTTCTCTCCTCCCTCAGCTCTCTGTTCGCTCTCTTTCCCTCCAGCTTTCTCCTTTTCCTCTTTTCTTCCTCCTCTCTCCAGTTCTGTCCTTTCCTCTTGCTTCTTCCTCTTCCTGTTTTTCTCCTCTCTCTACCTCTCTCCTCCTCCTCCCCCTCTCACCAGCTCCGTCTCCTACCCTCTTCCTCCTCTCTTCCTCCTCTTCCTCTCGTGTTTTTATATATAACGTAAAGTATAAATCTCAAAAACGTCACATAAAAAGTCACTGGAATACTTTTTTTTTTTTAACGAGCTTTTAAATCCAACTCCTCAGATCAAACTGAATCGTTCTGAGCTGGAGTCACTTTTTCTCCTCCTCCTCTTCTTCTTCTTCACTCGCTCCGTGATGAAGACCCCCGTCCACCGCACACGTCCGTCCGTCCGTCCGTCCGTCCGTCCGTTCTGTCTCTGCTGCACACGAGCGCAGACGGAGCTTTTAAAATCAGCCCCTTTAACACCGCGCCGTCTGCTCAAATGTCAGAACGCACCGGCCACTTATCCCCTCCCCCTCCTCCTTTTCCTCTTCTTTCTCTTCCTCCTCTTCCTCTGCACATGTGTGGGCGTGCGAGGAAGAGACGGATGGGACGGACGGAGGAAAAGGAGCGGGCGGCTAAGGAGGAGGTGTCCGAGGAGATTGGATTTGGGATGAAGAGGGAGCGAGGAGGCGAGGAAATGAGGGAGCGAGGAGGCGGGGCTAGGGGGAAGGGGGCGATGGATGGAGGATGGAGCGAGGAGTCGATGGGAAACGACGGCCGCTCCAGACGAAGGCCAGATTGGATTTGAGAAAAGTGAAGAGTGATGGAAGGAAGGAGGGATGGACCACAGAGACGAAGAGACGATCAGATCTACTTTAGGTCTGAGCTGGTTTAGACCTGGTTTAGTCCTGGTTTAGACCTGGTTTAGTCCTGTTTAGTGTTTAGACCTGGTGGTTTAGTTTAGACCTGGTTTAGTTTAGTCCTGGTTTAGTCCTGGTTTAGTCCTGGTTTAGTCCTGGTTTAGTCCTGGTTTAGTCCTGGTTTAGTCCTGGTTTAGACCTGGTTTAGACCTGGTTTACCTGGTTTAGTCCTGGTTTAGACCTGGGTTTAGGTTTAGTCTGGTTTAGTCCTGGTTTACTGTTTAGTCCTGTTTAGTCCTGGTTTAGTCCTTTAGTCCTGGTTTACCTGGTTTAGTCCTGGTTTAGTCCTGGTTCTGGTTTAGTCCTGGTTTAGTCTTGGTTTAGTCCTGGTTTAGTAGTCCTGGTTTAGTCCTGGTTTAGTCCTGGTTTAGTCCTGGTTTAGTCCTGGTTTAGTCCTGGTTTAGTCCTGGTTTAGTCCTGGTTTATGGTTTAGTCCTGGTTTAGTCCTGGTTTAGACCTGGTGGTTTAGACCTGGTTTAGTCCTTTTTTAGTCCGTTAATCCGTTTTTTCCATTATTCAGTTAAACACAAAATCTGAAAAAAATGAATTGCTTTCAGTTTCTTTTTTTTAGACAAATAATGAAGAAAATACTTTTTTTTTTTTTTTTTTTTTATTTTGAAAAACGAATGAACGTACGACACACGGATTGGGGCCAATGAGCAGAGGTGGCAGTGCTCTTATATTTACTCAATTAC